TGGACATTATTTTCCTTCCATGGATCCACATTTTCCAGTTTGAATTCAAACTGTTTAAATTTCTCTCTATAATGAGATATACAAAGTTATAATTCCACTATTCTAGCACGGGCTGAGAGGACTGTTTAAAATGATACTATATGCCATGTACAAAATAATGAACTACATAGCTTTTTCCACTATTGTTTTCCTTTATTTCAAAGAGAACTAAAGATTGTAGTTGAGATTCTCTTAAATAATGTGATTGGTAAGGAATTCATTTTTTTCTTTTTTTTTACCAGTAACATATAGAGTTTGGGCTGGATAATCTCTAAAACCCCTTCAAATTATGGGATTCTGTGGCCAGAGTCTTTCTAGAAGGGGAAATGCTCACCTGTGCTGTGTCTCTTTTTTCACCTCTTGGGTCAAGGACACCTACAGATACTAAAGCATGATTTTATGTGACTTTTTTTTAATAAGAAAAAAGTATTTCTGAAAGATAGGTTGACAAGGGACATGATGAATTTCCAAAATTAACTGTGAAAGACAGATCATCTGGGCCTGACTGAAAGCCATGCATAACCTTTATACTCAGATATCTCATTTAAAAAAATGTCACTTTCTGCTTATTCAGTGCTACTGTCATTATACTATTTTAAGCACTAAAATTTGTGTTCTGGAGCTGAACAGGAATTATGGCTTCTGTCTTTGGGCTTATTAGAAATAATTTAAAATCTATGCAAGAGTGATAAAAATCACCTTTTTATTATTGTTGAATATGGCTGAAATTTGCAATACAATTTTATTGTCTTTTATTAGCAGTGTTTCAGCATCTATGTATGTAGCTGAAGACTATTTTTAGTACCTTATAAAAATGGCATTTTAAATGAATTTTTTTAATTTTTAATTTTCTAGGGTGAGGTTAAAGTAGAATAAATTATGGGACAATGTTTCGTGAAATTTCAGACTTTTCCTTATATAGATAAACTTTTAACAAAGCACTAATGACAGTTGAAACACATCTTCATTGTTCTATAAATTATTTACTCAATACTTGTACTAATGTAAAACCAGATGATACACAGAAAATGGAAAGAAAAATCACTTCATTAGAAAAGACATTATTTCCTTTTCTGATTTTCCACAGAGATGAGATTGCAAGGGGGGAGGGTGTGGAAAGGAAAGCAGATTTTTTTTTTTTTGAAAAAATGCCTTCCTTGATATTGAAGGAATGGATCTGTTTATTCATATCGATCATCTGTAATTTATAACACTTTACTCTCTAAATATCCTTATACCCTCATTTCAAATTTGGATCGATGCTAAGGAGGAGGATGACGAGGGTACGGAAAGCGATTGCTTGAATTGTCTGAATCTACATGCATTCGGCTCCCTAAACCAGGCAGGAAAGGAAAGAGGGAAGAAGCTTGCTCAGATAATGGGGGATTCCCTGGGCAAGGCTTGCTGGGGAATTATTTCAGCTTGTGGGCTGAACAAGCAGAGCAGCGTGGGGCACGGAGTAAAGTATACCAAAGCAAACAACAGCAAACAAACATCCAGAGAATGGGTCAGATTGAAGTAGCATATTCCTTCCACGAATGAGAGGCCGGAGAGTCAGATCAGGAAGACGCAGCATCACAGGCATGTGGTGGAAGCTGGCTCCTGGACAGGTGTCTGGGATGAGCATCTCTGTATGTAGCTGGGATGTGCTCTTTGTGACATGGTTGCAGGAGGTAAAGAGGTAGAGTCAGGGGACAGGAGAATTTTACAGTGCTGGAAAACAGTTGCATTAATTCTAAAATGACAAAGCTAGTTAAAGTATTCCAATGCCAGAGGATGAAATTAAAGTGGGTGCTCATCATTCAACTGCAAAGGGCCTTTACACAGGACTCAATAAATATCCTTGTCTTAGGTCACGAAGCTAATTTTGCCGTAACAAAATAAGTGGGTGGCTCAAACTACAAAAATTTATTTTCTCACAGTTCTTGACGGTAGAAGTTCAAGATCAAGGTGCTGGCATGGTCGATTACTGGTAAGGGCTCTCTACGTGGCTTGTAGACTGCTTCTTTCTCTCCATATTTCCATATGGCAGGGAGAGAGAGAGACAGTGAGAGAGAGAGCGTATGCACTAGCTCGCTGGTGTGTCTTCTTGTAATCACATCATGAATGTCTCACCCTCATAACCTCATCTAAACCTAATTATCTTCCAAAGGATATATCTCCAAATACCATCACACTGGAGGTTAGGACTTCAATTTATGAAATTTTTGTGGGGGGAGGAGGACACAATTCAGTCAATAAAAACTGTCAACTTTGATCATCTCATAGTCACCATAAGAGTCATGTATTATATTCTCTTTCCCTTGTCAGGAAGTATCTATACTTGATGTGTCGCTGAAATTGTTCTTGTGGTATAAATGGGTTGTCCAAGTTTCTTCTTAACAAATAGTTGTTTCAACTTAATCATAAATATGTTGTGTTCTGGAATAGAAACTTCTCTTTCTTCAATTATTTCATGGATATAGAGGGTCTTCATGTAATTTTTTTCTGTTTCTTTTGTCAAACAAAATGAAGTGTCATTTGCTCACATTTTGAGTATAACACAATTATTGGTCTTATCCATTCCAAGGGCCACCTGTGTGGGAAACAGAGACATTGCCTCCAGTGTCATTCATATTCTGTTCCTTCCCTGAATACCACATACTCCCAGATCTACCACTGACAGCCTCTCAGCCTGTAGAATCCTGGACTATAGCCTCACCTCAATGTAGCACTGCTACCTAGAAAGAGACTCAGTAGATGCTTGAATTTTTGTACTGTTATTTCTCTCCATAGTCTATGTTGAAGTATGAGACTTTAGTGAAGAGTCAAAGAAAACAAAAGTGAATTATAGTTTAAGAGGAAGAAAAATGAAAATCTCATTCTAAATATCTTTGTTTCCATATAATGAAGTTATCCATCTCATGGATACACCCTGATTCCTGGCCTCAGGTTAACCCTCCATTCATAGAGTACTTCCCTATTCAGACTCCTCTCCTCAAAGGTTTCCCTCAACCCCACACAATTCAATCCCCAAAACCCAATATTTGTGGCAAATATTTTCCCAGAGCCTGAGTTACTTAGTCTTGAGTGATTTCCTAGGGTTGAGGATGGCAGGAAACAAGTTTCAGAAGAACACTCTGGGTGTGCTTTTGTTCTTCCAAGTCCTGACTATTTCAAAATTCTTCTGTACTAAGTAAGTCAACCTTGTTCATTGGTTTATAGTTTTACTTTATTAGGGCTCAAATTTTTCTATATACTCTGATGACTTATTTAAATCATATGAAAATTAATATACTCAGTAGATCGATCTCAAAACCAGTAAAATTTATGCCAAGTTGGGTGGTACAGGTACTTTGGGTCCCTCCTAAAGAATGACTGCCTGGGTAGTTTTCACTCCATTATGTCTCCAGGCTTTTCACTTTGGTCAGTGAAAGACTTCACTGCTACAGCTCCCTGGAAAATGACATGTAGTTTTTCCTAGTATGAGTTAAAGGAAAAGTCTAGATACATTAACAACCTACATTAACAACCTTCCCCTTCAAAAAGCTGTTTGGTTGTAGTGAGTAAAATATGATCACAGATACAACGGCACAGAATGTTTGAAATCAGAGTGAGATACATTGTCACTACTAGAGTATTTGATTGGTTCCTTCATGCCTAAGACAAGATTGATGCTTAGCATAACTTATCCTTAAGCACTTTCCTCTCCTTTAGTAAGTTTCAGAAGCACTCCTATATCATAAGCTACGCTAGTTGAAAAAAAACAAAGAATTCAGATGTTTCCCGAGTTGGGCCTTCAGACCCCTCTCTTCAGGCTGCAAATTATATAGAAGGCTGTTATTTCCTCACCATTTTACAACGCTAAGCTATACTGTCAACTTACACTATATGCTATCTTCTACTGTAAGCAACTACATTCTGCCACATTGCATAATAATGGTAATCACTGTAATCATATATCAACACAATGAGATAATGAGATAATAACAAGACACAGGTACCTTCTCTGCATGCTAAACAATTCATTTCGGTCTCAGACATTTGCCAGCCTGTTCCTCCCTACTGTATGGTGTCATAAGTTTATGTTCTGTCAAAAAAGGGGGGCTTGCAGCAGGCTGTGGGATGTGTTGGGACACGTATCTGTTGTGAGTATTCAGAAGTTATTCTTGAAGCTTACAAATCATTCCCTGAGTTACTCTCTTTTAAAACTCTCGAGGGCATTTTGCTGTGTCAGTGGAACGTATCTAATAAATTCATTCCAAGACAGCATTTGGGATATCATAAGAGATCTTATGAACAAAAACAGACAAATACACCATAATCAACAATACCTGGAGATTTAGAGATTAACTTGTCTAGCCTCATAAGATTTTCACATCAATTCCCCCTGAAGTATCAGACCCATCTATATAGAAGCTATTTATTTGAACCAAGACAGAGATTAAGTCTAGCAGGCTGGGAAATTTTTATCCTAAATGCAAGCAAGATGTGATCATGTGTAATAGCCACATCAGTAAAAGGGCTCAGTCTCTATGATATTTTGGGTACCATTTGTGCTAACAGACATTCTAACTTTTTTTCTTCCTGAGTTCCTTTCTCACTTAATTCTTGCAGGTTAATTTTTTATGAAATTTGTGATTGCTCTTATCCAACATGTTTTATCTGAAAGTTTCTATTTAGAAATTATAAGGCAGAGGGGTGAATAGCCCTGATTTTAATGCATTTATCAGTGTTGGATTACTCACATTAGTTTGAAGATAAGAAAGATTATCATTCTGCCATCACGTTTTTCTGCATATGGGAAATGTTTTCTGCATATGTTTCACCCTTTCGTTGATTTTTCAGTCTAAGCCTCAAGCCAGAAAAGAAGCAGACTACCTCTTTGGCCAAAAGGTTATAGCAATAGACCCAAGTGCAAATCATTTTTTAAAGTTTTCTTATTATACTCATCTATTTTACTATTTCTCTTCTTCTTTTAGTATCGACCAAACCGAGACCCCACAGTGATGAATATTCCAAGAAGATTCCTCCTCCCAAACCGAAACGGAATCCAAACACTCAGCTTAGCACATCTTTCGATGAAACGTACGTCAAAAAGCATGGGCCCAGGAGGACGTCCCTCACCCGGGATTCCTCCCTGTCCCACGTCGGCAGCCCCGCGGGAGACCCAGAGGAAGAGGAGCCCGTGTACATCGAGATGGTGGGGAACATCCTCAGAGACTTCAGGAAAGAGGACGACGACCAGAGCGAGGCGGTCTACGAGGAAATGAAGTACCCCATTTTTGACGACTTAGGCCAAGATTCCAAATGCGACTTTGACCATCACAGTTGTTCTTCACAGTGTGCTACTCCCACGGTGCCTGACTTGGACTTCGCCAAGTCCTCAGTGCCATGTACTCCCAAGGGTTTGCTTTGTGACATCCCCCCGCCCTTCCCCAACCTGCTTTCTCACAGACCCCCACTGCTGGTGTTCCCACCAGCCCCCGTGCACTGCTCCCCCAACTCTGACGAGTCTCCGCTGACCCCGCTGGAGGTCACCAAGCTTCCCGTGTTGGAAAACGTGTCTTACATGAAGCAGTCGGCTGGAGCGTCTCCGTCCTCTCTGCCGTCTCACACCCCCGGCCACGCCAAACTGGACAAAGACCAGACGGGAGCCCTGGGAGCCGCCTCTGCCACTGCTGTGCTGTCCTCGTCTCCTCCGCCCCCTTCCACTCTGTACCGAACCCAGTCTCCGCACGGCTACCCTAAAAGTCACTCCACCTCTCCCTCCCCGGTGAGCATGGGGAGGTCCCTGACGCCCCTGAGCCTCAAAAGGCCTCCTCCCTACGACGCTGTGCATTCGGGCAGCCTCTCAAGGAGCTCTCCATCAGTGCCTCATGCCACCCCCAGGCCAGTGTCGCAAGACGGGGCCAAGATGGTCAACGCCTCGGTGAATACTTACGGGGCGGCGGCCCCGGGCGGCTCTCGCTCGCGAACACCCACCAGTCCTTTGGAAGAACTGACCAGCCTCTTTACCTCAGGACGGAGCCTGCTGAGGAAGTCGTCGTCCAGCGGCCGCCGCTCCAAGGAGCCCGCAGAGAGTAAGTCGCACGTCCTGCTGAGGGGAGCCCCAGCGCGTGGTTTATGGCTCAAAATCAAAATGGAGCCCGTTATTACGGCTAAAGCACGGAGTATGTGGTCTTTAGGCCTTTCCGCTGAAGTCTCGCGTTGTTTTCCTTTTGCCCTGCTAAACCGAATAGTGTGTTCTGAAGCGGTACTGAAAGGATTAAACAGGACAATCATTTCCTAAGTTTTTAAAAAATCAAGTGTAAAATCTAAATTCTTGCAGTGGCCCTGACAAGTCTGACAGAGGCCAAGATGGAATTTTTAGGTAAATACCTTGATTTTGGCGGGAAAAAATTAAACATTCAAAACAGGGCTGTTAAATGTTAGCATTTATCTTTATCGTATACTAAAAAATTACTTAAGAAAATCTGTGTTAGAAAACTTTGTTGGAAAGAAAGCAATTTCAATAGAATTTAGGACTTTTTTTAAACATAACAAATGATTCTTTCTGCATTCTTCAGGTGGTTATGTTCTTACCTTCACCATAAACTAGAATAGACTCACTGCTTTCCTTTTAAAAGCTGTGGTAGTTCATATCTTATTTCTATGGTACTCTTCCTAGATCCGTCGATATACAATTTACAGAAAAATCATCAAGGTGGTGAACATTACTTTTACTATTCAATTTCAAAGACCAGGAAGTTTCTCTGTCTGAATGACTAGCCCTTTCAGGAGCTCCAAATCACTTCACAAGTATATAATAAAGTCAAAACACATCCAGGTTAGTTTTTTTCTGTGTCCCTTTCATTAAAGTACACTTTCTATTATTTAAAAATGCCTTAGGCACCTAAACTGGTAATTAATCATTTATGTCTCAGATAATCCCTCCACAAGATTGTGTTATTTATCTGTTTCTACAGTCTTATGAGGACTTTCCTTAAAGGAAAAGAATTCCTCAATGCTTTTGTTGATGAAGATGATGATGACATTCTTTAGATAATGAATATTCCTTGGTAGTGATAAGCCATTAATTCTGCCTTTTTTTTTTCCTTTACCCAGAAAGATTTATAAAAACATTAGTACTTAAATAATTACCTCTAGAACATTTTGTTTACCTAACTGGAAGGCGCCAATTTCTAATATATTAGTCATGTCTGGAGTTATATACGTACATATATATATATACACACACACATATATATATACATATATATATATATATACATACACATAAAATTATTTTTAAATTATTTTCAGAATTGAATTAAAAATTAGGAGCAACCTATTTCCAGAACAGCTGCTCTCAACTAGGGCAATTTTGCCCCCAGGGATATTTGGCAATGTCTAGAGACATTACTGGTTTTCACAACTGGGGGTGCTGCTGACATCTTTTGTGTAGAGGCCAGGGCTGCTGCTTAATAACCTAAATGGACAAGATAGCCAAAATGACAAAAAATAAAAAAGGATTATTTTGTCTATAATGTCAATAGTGCCATGGATGGGAAACCCTGGTCTAGATAATTTATTAAACTTTAAAGTTCTTTCCAGATGATTGATTTGATTTTCACATAGATCATGTAAGGTATTTAGAATAAGAGAAAAAAAATAAGTATTTTACTTTTAAAATACATAATGGTTAGAGTGAAATTAATAGAATTTTCATCTTAGAATTGGTGAGATGATTGGATTTTCTCCCTACCTATCAGATTCTTTGGAGGATCCTCAACAGCTCCAGCTGGCAGCTATGCCAATTAGCTAGAAAAAGTATATGTAAAAGAAATGATTAGCTAATGAAGTTATTTCAAGAAAAATCCATCTGTTAGAATCAGTCTATGTGCTATATGTCACAGACTTCCCCAGCTGAGTCCAAAAACGAGCTTTGTGTGCTTCTAAAACAAAGCTTGTACATGACAAAGTGATCTAGCCTCTTTATAGCTTTTAGGGAGCCAAGGATTGAATTCCTTACCATGTGCTATTATTAACCATGCATCAACTCTTCAGAGAAAGGGCATGCCCCCGAGTTACATTAACCTCAGTATTTTACTTTACATAAATGAAAGGGAGGGAAAATGCAGATAGTACAAATGAATAGTCAAATTGCTTTTAATATTTACTTTTGATTCTCAAGGAAAATAGAAAGACACTATTAGATACTAACAAAATCATAGGGATTCTCAGAATCCTTCTGTAATGCAAAAAGTAGAGCCAAAATTGTTGAGATTAAACCAATAATTGCTCTTACAGTCCACTCATTGATACAGCTCTCCCCTTTACTCTTGCAGATAGAATTTGTAGATACCTGTTGACACCTTAGGAACAGAATAAATTATGTGAAGTAGTATAACATTCATGACTTCTAAAGTCTAATTTTTTTTACATTTCAGGAATTTTTTACATTTCAGGGTTAGAAGTAAGACTGATATCTCTTCTTTCCAAGCCTCTATTCCTTTACTAGAAAAGTCAATTTGGTAATTTTCTAATATTCAATCTAA